CGCCCCAAACGTCGCGACTACTGCCTGGGCCGCGAGGCTCTTCAAACTCGCTAGTTTTAATAAACTTTGTTTTTAAATGTACATATCGCTTAAATTACCCCCTCCCCCCCTTTTTTTTTTTTTAACGTTACCCCCTGAAATGCCTCCGCGTGACAGCCCCGATTCTCTTTCCAGGAGGTCTTTTCTCCAAGATAACCCGTAAAGATGTTGAAGTTCAAATGTGGCGTCCGTAATCCGGTAGAGCCAGGACCTATGGAGCCCATCACGAGCCGGATTTCTCGGCTAAATCTGCTCTTTCAGGTAAAGAGCGTCTGGTGTTGGATTTGCTGATCTCTGTTTATTCTGGATAGATAGTCAGTATGTAAAAATACAATTTTGGTTCTTCGTGTGGACAGTCAAACTGTGCCTTTTTTTTTTTTTTTTTTTGAGAGGGTAAAAGAAAGCGGTAACTTGTTAGAGCTCGAAGCGTGAACCCAGTCTGCACAAAGTTCAATCGGGAGTAGCTGGTCTTACTTTGATGTGCAGCTGTTAATGTCTGAGCTTGAGTGGACTTTCTTGAATAAAAATGGAAAATCATATTCTGTGCCCACAGTTTTCTCATGGATGAGATAACTGAGGGTTTGTCATGAGATGGATTTACGAAACCAGCTGCTATTTGATCATCCAAGGTTACTTCTGGAGCTAATATTGATGCTGATTGCTTAGACTACTTGTACCAGGAAAAAAATAAACCTATAGGGTATAATATCAAGAAAAAGCCAATCAAAGCAGAATTGTTGGTAGGATGTAAGCAATTTCAAGAATGCTGTGATTTGAGCTTTTAACAATGTTGAGAAGATTGCTTTATCTAAAAGTACCGTACCTGAAGCAGCTGTTACAGAGATGGGTAGTGATCTGATATTTTAAACACATGCTTCTGCATTATTTGTCCAATTTCTAAAACAGTGATTTTTAAAATGGATAACATATAATCTCTATACATATGTTATTGATTTGAGGCTTTTCATTGTTGTCTGAGACTCCATCTGCTGTTGCTTCCTTTTTTTTTTTTCAGGGGAAGCCACTCTTTGTGACTCAACAGCAGATGTCTCCTCTCTCCCGGGAAGGCATCCTTGATTCTTTATTCGTTCTTTTTGAAGAATGCAGAAACCCCGCTTTAATGAAGATTAAGCATGTTGGCAACTTTGTCAAGAAGCGTAAGTTTGTTTAGACTAATTTCCAGATGTCATTTTTAAAGATAATGGTTAAGAATCCAAATGTTTAAGTAGTGCTCTAGTTGCTTAATTTGTTAGCAATTTTAACCTAAGACTTTGGGCATGTGACTTTTTGTGGACAGACTGTACGTTGCACAGGGAACCTTGACAATATTACTAAGGCTTTGTGCAGGTGCAGAAAGGTCAACTGCATTGACTTTTGAAGTGCTGTGACTCTAATGTGCATCCTTCTTAGACTGTACTATTTATTGTTAAGGAGGCACTTTCATTAAAAGTTTCTCAGAGTACTGCATCGAGCAAAGTTCCAAGTACAAAAAATAAAAGGGTGTCGAAAATTGAGAGCAGGATGTGACTAAAGCTATGAAAAAAATATCTAGAAAGAAACTCAGTAATACTTGGCTCTATTAGCTTGAAGTAATATTTGGGATTCCATGTGTTATCCCTATTTTGCATTTATAACTTGTAGTTAACAATTTTGCGCTTAAGAAATAATTCCTGTCAGAATAAACATCTTACTGATAATGTGCTCAGAATAATAATAAAAAAAAAAACCACAAGAAAGCGTAGGTCAATGAACCTTTCTGTAACCAAATGGCATTCTATTATATCTTAACAGTAGTTCCATCCAACAGTTTCTAGGTATTATTAAATAAGAGTAATGGTTTGCTACAATCTGAAGAATTTTTAGAACAGTACAGAAAGCAACTGATTATCACAATGCATCCTGGATGAAACTAGTCCATAGAAAACTTAGACTGAATATCTGAAACAAATGTCTATGGTATTTGTTAGACAATAGAATAGTGCCTCCCACAGGCAGAGGAGAAAACCCTGCCACTTGAACTTGTAGAACTGGACTGGGTAAAGCCCTCTTATTTGGAGAACATGCTTTGTATTGGCAAAGGATGGCTGAAAATAAATTAGAAACAAGAGAGACTATCAGCCTATGATGACATGAATGAGACAGAATTATGGTTGCTATGGGAACTCTCTTAACATTTCCTGATTCTTTTGTATGCACCATCTTTCAATCTTAGCTATGCATTAATGCTGCCTTTTTTTTTTTTTTTTAGTATTTATACATGCTGTTTTTTAGGAAGCATATTCTGAAATGGTTTTATATTTCTTGAGAAAGATTTTTTTTTTTTTAATTCCCCATTGCTGATGTTGTGTTTACCACAAAATGCCAGTTGGCTAATGTAAAATAAGTGTGTTACTTTTATAGATGCAGAAACTATAGCTGAATTAAGGGAATTGCAACCCAATGTGAAGGATTTTGAAGTAAAGAGTGTGGTTGGCTGCGGTCATTTTGCGGATGTAAAAGTAGTAAGAGAGAAACTTACTGGTGATGTGTATGCTATGAAGGTGATGAGCAAAGAGTCCTTGTTGGTGCAGGAGCACGTATGTATATTTTTCTCTTATGACAGTAGAACCATAAACAATGACTTGTTGAGCATTTCCTTTTTGTCACTGCTGTTAGAGTAAAAAGGTAACCTGGGAAAGATCATCCTACGTTTCAGTAAAGGTGTCTATTAGTATTTGTTTGTAGCTTTACTGTGTCTAAGAGCCATTGTCATAGACCATGAATCTATTGGGTGAGGTACCATACAAAAAAACCCCACAAAAACCAGTCCCTGCTTCAAAGAGCTTACCATCTAATTTTAAGACAAGAAACAGTAGATGGATACAAATAGGTGAAGAAAATTTTGACACAGTATTGATCAGTTTAATAAATGATGGCTTGAATATTCACAGTCCGTTAAGATTTTTTTATTTTAAAGAGCAAGGTAGGATGTCAAGAGTGGGTGTGAAGGCAAACAATGTAGTGACTGGATTTTGATGGAGAGCTCCTCACTAGCTTGAGAAAGGTGTCATTTGAAAACTTAAAGAGAGTAATGGAGGGGGTTATCATAGTTTGGTGAGAAACAGAACTTACTCTTTCACTGCTGAGAGATGAGAAGTAGGACAAAGATACTCAATGAAGGGCCTTGGGAATTTACACAACAATGTCTAAATCGGTCCCAATACGTGACTGCTCCTGAGATCCTCTAGCTTTTGTGGCTATCAGAAGTGAAGATAAACTAAAATTACTCTTGCTGTGGCACAGGTTGACAAGAAGAGCAAACTATGATATTATCTTCAATATGACACTTACTCAGTCTTGCTGACCGTGGGTCAGTGAAAGTAGAAAACGTTGATCTAAATGAACTAGCAATATCTATATAGTAAAATTTGTTGTTGTTGGGCCACAACTCTCAATTATTAAATAGTTGCTAGAGGAAAACTTTGTATTTTAATACTTTACATTGAATTTATTATGGAATTGGCTGTAAGATGCTGCCCCATAATTGTGCTAGCATCTGTTCTGCTTCTTGTCTGCTTCTTTTGAAATTAGTTTTATTTTATTAGGGCCAATCCAGATGAAGTCAACCCAGATTGCACTCCAAACTGGTAGATGTTTCACCAGTGTGAAAGGAGAGCTGGCCTTTGCTGCAGGGACTGTCCAAATGAAAACAAACTAGACAAGAGAAGGGGGGGAGTAAAGCTGGAAACACAGAAGAGTAAAATTACTTTATTAAAGAGACATCACAAGGCAATGGCATTTCATGGTTTGTAAGTAATTTTTATGGGATGTATGCCTTTGGTGCAGAATTGCATCTTTCTGAAGCTAGGGAATTCTAATGTATTCAAACCCACTTTAATCAAGATATAACTGAACATTTCCTTTTTCTGTAGGTGTCGTTTTTTGAGGAAGAACGCAGTATATTATCTCAGAATACCAGTCCCTGGATTCCACAGTTACAATATGCATTTCAGGACAAGAAAAATCTCTACTTGGTAATGCTGATCTCCGTTTCTTTTCTTCTCTGTTGAAGACTTCACCATTGTTATATTTAAGAACGATTTGATGACTGAAAAGTGTTCATCCTCTGTAAATTTTCTTACATCACATGGCACTGTTTGATATCTGTCCAGTGTAATATGTAGGAGTTGAGTGGAGTGCCTTTTCTATATAGGAACTACATCTGTTCCTCTAAAATTTTATGTAGGTTATGGAGTATCAGCCTGGAGGGGACTTACTGTCACTCTTAAACCGATATGAGGACCAACTGGATGAGAGTATGGTGCAGTTCTATCTTGCGGAGCTGATTTTAGCCATTCATAGTGTTCATCAGATGGGCTATGTACACCGGTAGGTAAAGAACGCTTTGCATTACACATAATGTTTAATCAGTATCATTCTTCAATCAGTGTTCTGGAATTATACTTTTTTTTTTTTAATTCTATCCGCTTGAGGGACAGCGTTTCACATACTGTATTAGGAGAGAAAATTAGAATGTTAATCATACGCCAACTAATAACAGCTAAAGACATTAACTTAGATGTAAAGTTCACACTAATATCACAAAAAGATTGTTACATATATATTCGGGAAGCTTAGTAAAAAGAAGCCATTATGTTGCACTGTATTGAAATTAAAATCTTTTTGAGGGCTGAAGGCTGGTCATGTTTAGCACCAATTAGCAGAGGAAATCAGTGGAATTGTTAAAGCTTGTTGCTTGCTTGTTTGTCAACAGGACAGTATAGTATGTTGGAGTAGTTCAATATGACAGGAGTTTTCTAAAGATCAAATAAAGGCATGAAGGTTGTTACTGTGTAGATTTTCAAATCGTATTGACATCTAAGCATTTCATACATTTATTCCATTCTAAGGCTTTGGAGTTGTCATGAAGTGCTGTAAGTTCCAAGCATAGATGCTGCACTTAGAACATACGCTGTGTCTTTTTAATGCAAGGTGGCTGCCTGTGTCTGAAAGAAGCACAGAATAAGTTGGGAGGAAATTTATAAAGCTGCATAATACTTTGCCATAACTCAATTACAACTTAGTCAAGGTATCATTAGAGCTCAGTGCAAAACCACCTCTTCTTCCATTGTCTGTCAACAACTGTTAACTTTCCATGAAGTGATTTAAACTCCACTACTTTGATGTCAGCTTGCAAGCAGAACAACTGTTGGAAATAAGACTCCCACAGTAATCCATTGCTAGGGTTTTATGCAACTGAGCAAGAGTTGAGTGTAGCTGGAAAGGGAGATACTGTTATTTAGACGTAGCAGCAGAGAAGAGTATAGAAAGGTATTGATTGCTTTCTGCTTTCTTACAGAGATATCAAACCAGAGAATGTTCTCATTGACCGAATAGGACACATTAAACTGGTAGACTTTGGGTCAGCGGCCAAAATGACAGTAAACAAAACGGTAATAACATGAATTTAACTTTGTCTATAGCTGATTTAGGTAGTCCAGTCAAAAAGAGAAAACTAAGTTTGTCTGTTCCTTGATGGCACCTTGTTCTTCTTCCTTTCTTATCCAATATGAAATCTATTAATAATAATACTTTCTATTTATAAATGACTTGTAAAACATGAGCTGGAGTATGTTTTGCAGCTCTCAGTAGGTATATATTTGCTTATGCAAATTTTAATGAGTAAGATAGCAGCAAATCTTTCTCATGCTGCTGTATTTCAATGCAAAATCATATGTTTAGATTCTCACAGCTGTTAATCTTTCTGTATATTGCACTAATATCAAACCTTTTTCATTAAGGATTTGAGTTTGTGCTACTAATTCTGCAGCCACCTTAGCTTGCAGCACAGTCTTTGAGCAGTTGCAATACTGTGTTTAAAGAAGGACATGTACTTATGAATTGTTCATAATTGGGTTGAAAATTGTGTTTGCTGTAACTAAGGTGGCATAGTTTTGAAGACCTGGGTAGCTCTTGATTAAAATGAGTCACATTCCAATGTTCTGGGATTTAGTAGTATTCACCAAAAAGCAATATATTCAAAGCTGTAAATAGGGTAAGGTTTTTTTTGTAAGTTGCTTTTAAATTTACGAGACTGAATACAGTTTAAAGTGAGAATTTGAAATTAAAATAGATGTAAAACAGAATATGCAGTTATACACTGGAGCCTTCACTTGTTTTATGGTTTTTGACTTTTTATACAGTTTTGTTAGTATTGTGATTTTTGTATTTTGTTTTCCTCAGTCTTCCCTTTTTAGTGTTCCTCTGCATTGCATTTTTCTTTTCAATTTATTTCCTTTTCATGTGATCTGCCTTTTCAGTCTTCTGGTTTCTGTGTTAGTCTCCCTGCTGTTATGTTTCACTCTTTTATACCACTCACAGTGTAAAAATTACTGCAATTTGGGTTCCTGAATTACCTTTTCTAAGCACTCCAGCAATTTGAATACTAGTATTTTGCTGATCATGAACACAAGGTAAAAAGGTAGGGATGACACAGAATGGAATGAGGGCAGGAATGTTTATGCCTATATCTGACTGATTCTTGAAACTTCAGCTGTGATGTCCTTGTTAACTAGTTGAAACAGTATTGCTGTTATGGGTATGCATACTGCTTAAAGCATCAGTGTTCAGTAATGCTGTGCCTTTTAGAATGCTGCTCTTTTATTTCCTTTACTTTAACTGTATGTAGTTTCTAGTGGCAGTTAGCTCTCATAATTTATTGACTCCTTTTGTGTACCAAATAGCTTTCTGTTTGTTTATCAGCAGTTTTGTTAACTTTGCGCTTTTTTGCTTAACAGTTGAACACAATTTGATAATTTATGAAATCCCTTACTTAACATTTACTTGTAGGGTTGCAAATTCCATCTGTCTCATTTAAAAACAAGATAAAAAATTTGTTTTGTTACCAAGGTCACAGAGAGCAAAAAGAGCTATAACTTCACTTGGTATATCTTTATTTGTAGGTAAATGCCAAGCTACCTGTTGGCACACCAGACTACATGGCACCAGAGATGCTGACAGGGTTGAATGGCGATGGCAAAGCTTCTTATGGTCCAGAATGTGACTGGTGGTCCTTAGGAGTCATTGCATATGAAATGATTTATGGAAGATCTCCATTCACTGAAGGGACTTCAGCAAAAACTTTCAATAACATCATGAACTTCCAGGTAGAGAGAACTTCCGTGTTCGTGGGTAAAAAGGCTGTAACTAAAGGCTACGTGTTCTTGCAGTTGAAAAAAAGAAGTTTATGGATGTCTCTTACTTTATCATGTTTATAACAATATTTAGAATACAAATGTTTTATGATACGTTTAGTATTTTCCTGATACGTGCCTCCACATTGTAGAGATTTCCATTTATTTTTGTAACAGCTGTCTAAAAATAACCATGATTTATGCATGCAGTGCATGAATTAAGAAAGATTTATCTGTGCATCTCAAGTGATTGTATTTGCAATGTCGCCAAAATAATCTAGAAAAGGCATGGAAAGGATGAATTGTGGATTGATAAATTTTCCTAATGATACTAAGTTTTTCTGGGTAGTAAGACAAGGGCCAACTATGAAGAGTTGCAAAAGGAGAGTATTGAGTGTCTGCATGATTAAAATGTCCTAGGAAACTTAGCATAAATAAATGCAAAGCAATACATGTGAAGGGAAAGGTATCCCAGCTTTACCCAGTAGTGGGCTCCAGAACAGGATCTTGATGTTACAATCTATGAAAATGTTAGCTTACTTCTCAGTAACATTCTAAAAAGCAAGTAGAATTGTAGCAGTTAGTAGTAAAGAAAAAGTCATGTGCATCTGGGGAGGAGGTGAATAAAGAATGATTGCCCATTATCTCTTCTAATACCAGACTTAGGGGCATCAGATGAAAATATCCAGTAGTAGCTCTAGAACAAATGAAAAAGGATACTTCACACAGCACATATTTATGCTGAGAAGTGCTTTGCCACAGGATTTGGCAGCTACTGAATGTTTACATAGGTTTCAGCAGTGACTGGACAAATTCCTATTTACTAGGCTTCAGTAAATTTTTCTTCTATGAAGACATCACCCCTGGTTCAGAAAATTGCTAGGCCACAAATCCTAGAGGTTTGGCAGGATTTTCTGGGGTATCTTGTGGTTTTACACTTCTGTGTGTGTATGTTGTTGACCGATGTTCGCCATAGGATGCTGAGATGGGTCTACCATTTGTCTGGCCTGGTGTGGTTGTTCTGTGTTCTTGTCTTTACTGCAGTAAAGGAGAATAAAGGTCTATTAGGAAAAAATCCACAACGCTGTCATTTGTGTACTATAAATAAAGACACTTTGTGCCTCATATATCTTAGAATAATGAAAATAAAGAACCTTCCTGTTCTGGGATTGTTTTCCTACTGAGCAGAAATACTTTTCTTTCTAATGCAGAGATTTTTGAAGTTCCCAGAGGATGTGAAAGTTAGTAGTGAATTTCTTGATCTGATCCAGAGCCTGCTTTGTGGGCAGAAGGAAAGGCTGGGTTATGAGGGACTCTGCTGCCATCCGTTTTTTTGTAAAATTGACTGGAACAACATCCGTAACTGTAAGTAAAGTAATGCTGCATATTTAAACAGTTCCTGATTTCTCAGTAACATGAAAATTTACAAAATCTGAGCATTTAGATGTGCTTGATCTGAATCATTGTTAATAACAAAACATGACTGTGTTCTGGAGCAGATGTGTATCAAGGAACAATTTGTTTTGCTTTTTGGGTAAGATATATTAACATCTCTTAGGTGAAAATGGTAAGTTAAGAGTAAGATGAAATTTAATAAATTTCTGTATGAAGTTATGGTGTGATTGCTGTATTATTGCAGGCACTAGACTGGAAGAGCCAAGTGGTCCTTTCCATGTCTTTCCTCAGATTAAAATGCACCAGTGCGTTCTTTCAGGCTATCTCCAACCCAGCCTGCTTAATTTTGACTTTGTCTCCTGATTAATTTTTTGTTACGTCTTCGGCTTCTTCTCTTCTTTCATCTGTTGTGATCCAGCTTGTTTAAGATTTCTCTTTTAGCTCCTCTAGATGATAAAACATCAGAGGTCACAGGGACTTGGAAATTTTTCCTCAAACTTAATGTGCTTAATAGATGACTCTTTTTTTTGGTCAAAAATCGATTCCTTCCACTAGGAATGGAATAAAAGCAGTGTAGCACATACTACGTTCTACTTTTGATGACTATCTTAGCACTTCAGCTGTCAACTCCACCGAATGCCTGCTCACTTTTTTGTTGATTCATTATCTTTGAACTTGTGGAGCTTCTGTTCTATCAAATGCCATTGTTTCTGCCCTTTGAGAACCATTGAGCCTTGAGTGAGAAGTCTTTTTCATAACTTCAGCATATGCTTCAGACTTCAGCTCACTTTGCCCTCTTTCCCCTGAACACTGTCTAAGCCACCAGTTTCCATTTCTGAAATCTTTTGTATTGGTTTTGTTTCATATTATCGCAGCTGCAGGAAAAAATGGCATGTGAGCATATGTTCTGGTGTTTCCTTGGCAATCGTTTGCCCAGCATTCTCACAACTGCACAAGTTAATTAGGAGTGTTTTGCCATTTCATGTGACAACAGTGATTCTGACTGACAAGCTGGTAGGCAGTCCTGATGTCCTTTTAAATGTTGAAATAGTCATTTGGGATTTTTTTAAAATTCCCATTTTTATCTGCAGCTGGCCAGTGGATTACATCATTCTCTGTAATATCCAGACCTGCCTATGGTGAAGATCATGCAGTTTTGACCCTTGACCTGGTTGTTATGTCTCATGCATCATAACCCCCACTGTAACTAGCACAAAACACAGCAGTCCTCTTGCTTTTAGTAGCAGATTGAATGCATCACCTATTGCTTTACTCTCTGCAGTGGTTCTCCGTTTGCTGGTCTATTCAGGGCAGCGTCTCTGTCTTTCTATTCAAAACCCTTGACAGGTTTGGCCCAGGCTTTCTAAAAGCTGAAGGTTTCTTTCTTATCGTGACCTGCTATGATAGTGGTGGTGAACTGGAGCAATGGAAAGCTAAGAAAACTGGGAAGCTAGCGAGTGCTGGAAGAAGTCACAGGTTTTGGACTTCGACTAAGGAATCTCAGTCCCACAAGTTAATATGGTCAATTTTGGGGGGTATGGAGCTTGAATTTATCTCTGACAGGCCTTTGTTAAATAAATTTTATGTCTGCACATGCAGACTTTTCCCTAGACTATAAAATAAGGATGTTATTTCTATTTCAGACTGAGGAAAGTTGTGGTGGTGGGGGAAATTGATATCCCTGCATTGTGGGTATTTAACTGTCCTGTTGGGAGTTCCAGGATAACCATTCTTAATGCACTACTTTTGGTTAAGAATGTGTCATTAAAGGATTTTTCAGTGTTTTATTTTGTAGTTATGGTAACCTGTGGAATGTTTGACTTGGCCTGCGAAGTCCTTCCCCAAAAGATAGTTGCCTCTTAAAAAAAAAAAAAAAAATTCCCAGCTTTCTTGGGTTCAAGTAGCATGTGTCTGTAGAAGCAGTTCTTAAGCTACAGAAACAGAAGCCAGCTCTTATTAAACCTCAAGGTGAGGTTTAACTGAATCTGGCTCTATAGATGACTTTCCCCTTCCTGGGAGTGTTGTGTTGAAACAACACTTACAGGTTTTGCTCTCTGTATTTGTTGACTTCTGCTATTTAATGTCTTCTAATGCTTATAAAAAATTCTTCCAAAAGGTTGTGTTGATTTACTTAACAGAATTTTCTGAAAATATTTTGAAATTTATTTACCTAGAATAAACATTATATTGCTAGCTGTGTTTCAGTTAAGCAATCAGGATTTGGTTTGGAAAGTTCAGAACAAAACTATCTGAGTCCTTGAAAAGAATCTAAAATTAGAGATAGAGAGTGGGGAATAATAACATACCTGACTTACTGGCAACAAGGTTGTATTTTTTACACTTTGGGGATTTTGTTGTTTGAAACCCATAAATTATATCAGCTGTTTAATTTGGAACCAAAAATCTGTCTAATGAAAGCTAGCGGAGAGATGCTTAGAAGACTTGTGTCTTAATCTGGGTGAGAAATGTACAGATAGCATAAAAAGTCTTTAATTTTCAGAATTGTTTTATAACTGCAGTCCAGAAGGTTTTGAAAATGGCATAGCATATTCGGTTTTGTATGAGGAATCTAAATATATGAGAAGAAAAGAACGAATGTCTCCTGAAAAAGGAAGAACTTGAAAAATACTTGAAGACTGATTCCAGGCTGTCTTCTGTTATTAGACAAGCAGGAACCCAAATCTCTGTGTTCGTAATTCCCAGACTCTTTTCCTTATCTTAGACTCCAAAGCTGGCTTTGAGTACGTTAACGGTTAAGTATTGTGATGTTTCATTTAGATGTTTGTCTTCAGAAAAATGTATTGATATTCTGTTTTCAGTGGAGGTCACTAATTAAGCTAATGTAGATTTGGAAGATCACTTTCATTAACAGAAATGTATGTCTTTTGGATTATTGTCTTGAGAGAACAGAAAAGATATTAAGATGGTGTTATGCAGATTGGTTAGAACTAGTATAATACCGTTGTTCAGGTGGTCTTAGATTAAGCGTTCTTAAATGTATCACTCAGAGCTGCTATTTTCTATTTTTCTTCCATAACACTTTGCTGAAATAGGTCTCTTAAAGCATGAGGAAGAGTAATGCCTAACCTACTTAAAAAGGCTGTGCAGATTCTTCTCTCCAGAAAGTATATATAGATCACCTTGTAGATCAAGAAAAGACACATTTTTATTTTTTAGAAACATTGTGTATCTCCTCTAAATTCTCTATCTCAGTTAAGTTATTCACTGTCCCAGGCAGTGCAGGATTTGTTTTCCCAACTTACATGAAAATAATTTGAAAGGATGGAAAGATGCTATTAAGGCAATATTCCTTGAACTAGTCATAAATACATACACTCGTCCACAGTTTAAAAAAATGCTTCTTTTCATAAGAACCATTCTGTCTAATCTTAATGATAAACCAGATAAAGTACTGCATTTTTTTTTTAACTTAGCAACCTAAAACACCCCCTTTTCCTCTGAAAGTCATTCTATGGAACAGATGGATGAGGGTTACATCCTTCCACAAGTGGGGAGGTATCTAGGCAAGCAATTGGCTTTTTTAAAACATGCAGTTCTCGGCAAGATACTTTAAATGGTAAACAGCACATGTACATTCGTTTGTAACATGTCAGAGGCAGAAAGAGGTCCTTATACCAACCCAGTTTAGAAGGCTAAAGGCATCAGGTTTACTACCTTTTTCTAATAGTTTTGGCTTCCATTTTGGGTGATCCTAGAAAAAGTGCAAGTGCCTTGACCAAATTTTTGACCTTGTCAGATGCGGTGGCATGGTTTTAACATGTGATTCTCAGAGGCTTATCTTGACCTCTGCTAAAGGATTCCTCTTTTTAAAGAAGCTACTGAGAGTATTCTGATACATAAGCACATCTATGTATTTGCAGTCACTAGTCTTCATCTTGTTCCAAAAATACTGTGGAACAAGTATCCCATAGGACACTCCTCTGATTTTAAGCAAGAAATATCAATTTGACTAGAGATAATTTCACCATGGGACCCACATTTGGGAACCAAACTCTCCTTTGTTAGGTTTTTTTTTTTGTTTTCACAGGACTCTTCCATTTATTCAGCATTTTTGGACATCAGGCAAAAAGGACTCCTTAAGAGTAAAGGAAACTGAAGATGCTACCAAATAATTAACAAAATCAGAGAGAATGGATCTAGCTTATTCTTCATTTCTAAGGATATTCCCTTTTACTCCTGAGTGAGTTTTTCACCAGTGTTCTGAAACTTCAGAAGTTCAGATTCTCATTTTTGGTCACTGTTGACATTTCAGAACCACTTAACAAGTAGACATGCTGTTGTTGGAGGACTGTTCTAAGTTTTCTCTTTAGTTGCTACTCCTTCATGTTAATTATACTGAAACAATGTTATACTACAAAGCTGCAGAGTTTTTGGACTGTTAAGTCAGTCATGGATCTTTAGTGAGTGCAAGAGAAGAAAAGCTTTCTTCTTTATTTTTCAGTCTATTGTGCACTGTTTGTCTTTTTAATACAATTTTTTATTAAATAAGATAGCAGTGTAAAAGGTTGTTCTTTAAACTAGTCTCCCTGCAGCCTCAAAACTTTGGCCTGTCTCGCTTTCAGTCATCCCTTTTTTGCATCCATTTGCCCTCATTGTGTGCCTTTGATCTTTTTATGTGCATGCTGATTTTAGACATATTTAAATTCTATTCTCTTTTATGCATGTAGTTTGAGTATGAATTCTTGATAAGAGGACAGACTTTCTTTTTAATGGTAGTGGCTTGAAGATGACTCTCCTCAGTGTTCTTCAGAGCTTCTTAGCTACTTACTGGTGAATAGTAAGACTCTAGCTCTCTCTTTCTAAGCTGAAGTTACCTATCAGACTCTGAGAAGTACAAAGCAGGGTTGCTATATCATTATAAAAAGAAGGGTGTGTTGTTTTTGCTACCTCTTTAAGAAAGCTGCTAGGCTTCCCCGTGTGAAGTGAGTAGTTTGCTGCTTTCTCTATTTTTCTGCCTCATCAACTCTGTGTCTTCAAAGACAATATTAAAAACCCTACAAAAACTCCTTCCTATAAGATGTCCAAAGTTCTTTCAGCAGAGGTGCTAAGCTAAAAAATATTAATTCATTTATTTATCCTGCTCTGCTATGAATTACCTGGGACTTTGGGGTTACATTTGCCTTAAAGATGACATACGTATGAACTGTGTTCTGTTGATTCTATGTTCTTAATCATTAACTGTATGAAAGAGTAGCTGAACATTAATATTAAGTGAATTTGTTTTAAAATACAGTTCCTGTAGATAATCTGTATTCCAAAATAATATGCTTATAAATATCAGTAATGCATTGGTTCTAAATGTACATTATAATAACCAGTAAAATATCAGAACTTAACCAATGCCTGATATTGCCAAAAATTTAAATGCTCTGAAGCCAGTAAGTAAAACCGCTTAATACAGAACCTTTTCAATTTGTATTTTTTCCCCCATTTGTCTCATTCTAATCTGCATCTTATCTGCTTTATGGAATTTCTCTTCTTTTCTCTGCTTGGGAGCAGTGGCAGAATGGCTCCTTGGGGAGCTGCTAACGACGCATGCATGTGCAGTTGTGATTTGGCAGTTTATACAGACAGGTTTTTTTTTTTTTTTTGGCCTATTAATGCTGGGCTGGTGGGTAGTTTAAACATACATTTGTCTAGAGAATTAAGAGTTAAAAAGTAGGCTGTGAAAAGCTTTGGCAACCTAGAGGGAGCTAGCAAGCTCCAGCCGTGACTCATTCTGCCTATGTCAGTCAGATAAGCATCAGCATCTGTCACGATCAGGCAGGTAGGGTTAAACTCGAGCATGCAGAGAGTGAGGAGCAGGGAGCCTGCACTGCAGGGGTTGTAATGGTTGTTCCCCTTTCTTCAATTCGCGTCAGCCGTTCAGCTACTGGAGATCTATACTGGATCCATGGTAACGGTTTTAGCACACTACACTTCCATCAGCCTGTAACAATGCGCTGGGTTCTAGTTGCAGGCTGAAGAGCTGTCTCCAAATCAAAAAGAGATTAGTAGGTTGCAGTGAGTGAGGACCTGAGTGATGAAATATTAAAAAAATAAAATAAAAAAAAATCTGAGAGCGAAAACGTGATTTAACAAGGTAGGAATTGCACAGCAGGCTTTTGCATTCATTCCTTTCATGCACGCAGCCAAGCCAGCAGGTAACTGAGGTGCTGCACATCATTGAGAAGAACTTGTCCTTTTGTTGATTAATTAAATTGAAGAAAAGGTTTGAAAATCAGCAGAAACTAAACAGCTGCTTAACAAGTTAAGCGATACCAATTTAGAAAAAATAGTAAGAA